ATATATATATATATATACATACATATACATATATCACATACTTGTATAATACCTTTATCAGGGCGATAACATGCATGCAGGGTGACATAACCATATGTCATTGATATCGTTCTTTGTCACAGATTTCGTTTTTGTCACTTATATCGTTTTTTGTCCCGCTATTTTGATCAGTAATTGTTCTTCTAACAAATTCTGACCCTGATAAAGGCACAACTATATAATAAACAGGTTATCCTAATCGGGAAGAGCGCAGGGCCTCTTTTAACATATAGACTGGGGGGACATGTCCCCCCCCCCAGCCCTCTTACTGGCCCCTCCAGTCGGCAACCCCCCTCCCCAGTGCATGCAAGGTCCCTATATGGTTCATATCATAAAGATTTCGTCTTATGTGAAAATTAGTAAAAACCCGAGCAGGGCACTGTTATTCGGGTTCGTCCCTGTTGCAGGTTCCTGACATTTGGGGTTTTTTTCTCTTCTCTTTGTAATGTTGTGTTTTTGTTTCTTAGTAAGTAAATTTAATATTTTCCATCTTTCTTCTTAAAATAGCAAATTCAAGGCATTTCCTAATTTCCATAATTTGGAATATTGTCAAGACATTAAATACCCGTATTTTCGTAAAGCCAGACTATTGTGTTGCCACCTTTGTCATAATGCGAACGGATGGCTATTTTTATCAGTCAAATAGTCTTATCAGTTTTTGAATCCAATACTGAATCTGAAATATAATATTACAGCACACTGATCAACTACATGCAAACTTAACTCTATACAGTACCTTACACTTTTTATCAATATGAATTAAAAGTTTATTTATCGTTCGTGTTCTTTTAAATTACTGCACGTGTGCTTTGCGGCAAATCAATCACTACTGGTGGCGTGCAGCCGATATGAACAAACAGACCAATTATCTACCTCGCATTAATCCAACCTCTTTATTCGTAGTAAACGTTTTCACAAACATCAAGTATAAGCTGAGTTCAATCACGAGAGCCACGTCCACGTCGAACATACATCTAAACAATGGTCCATAGTACACGTGAAGAAAGCGAACAAATAAAGAAATAATTGCAATTAAAAGGAGAACAGAAGGCAAATTGAGGCCGGAAAAAGTCCATGCAAGGATAATAATTTCAAGCTATTGTATAACTATGAAAGAATCAGTTGGTGCAAGTATCTCTGCTTCAACTAACCGACTGACTTATACAGGTTAATGAAACCCAGAACAAGCAAAAGTAATAACGAGATTGACTGAAGATTATTTGCCCAATTATGTTTGAACGGTTTGACCCTGAGGTGATGGAAAAGAGCTAGAGGACACGTGATTGTCATCCAGAATAACATGTAAGATGCCTCGGTGATAACACAAAAAAGAAGAACCAGCACGAGCAATCATCATACTTTTCCAATCAGGGGCGGAGCGAAGACTAGATTAACGCCTTGTAGTAAGATAATTTATTTTAATTTACTTTTAAAATAGGCGAAATAGTTTCGCCACACATCCATTCGTCATCAAACGACCGATTGCAAACTAAACACGTCAGTTTCTCTCTCTTTCGTTTGCGTTTTTGCTTGCCTGTCCATACTTTTAAATCATCTCCGTATTTCTCATTGTATAAAAGACCGTTAGGTGTAATTTCTAAGACTTTTACTGGCTTTACAAGATTATGAAATGAAACGCAGACGCATCAACAGTCAACACGTACATGTGCTTCGAATTTCCTATAATACTAATAAATATAATACTATTAAATAGCATATTAGCGTAATAAGTTCTTGGCCAATTTAGCTGAATGTTCGGAAAAGGGCCGAGCTTTCAGTCGACATATCCATCTTTTCGATCTCGCATTTTCTACAAATTTTCTACAATCTCTCTCCAATCAGGTATTGCCTATTGGCGTGATCCAATTTATTTTGCCGACAACTGATTTATTGTGCCGACGGACACGGCATTGGGGGCGGCACCCCCCGCACCCCCCATAGCTACGCCCCTGTTTCCAATACCGAGAGCTCCCGGCTTTCGGAATGGTGTTAAAAGCATTTTCTTTTATAGCACATTCAATTTCTCCTTCGGCTTAGAGAAAAGCCAAAAAAGTAAAAAAGTAAACTCGGAAGTGGCAGAATAAAGCCTATAAGAAGTTGCCTGAGTGTTATTGCTTCTCACAAGTTGCCTGAGTGCAGTGCTTCCACAACCGCTTGTTCAAAAATCCTTTTACAATCTCCAAAATTCCTTTTTTCCCACAAAATTTCCCTGCCACCCAAACGGTGGAAAAAATCAAGAAAATTCAGGCAATTTGAGGCAAATGTATCGTGGACCCTACGAGAACTCGAGTATCATTACATTGCCTGAAATTTTGGGCAAGCTTTCAAGAATTCCCTCCATGAAAGTATTTGCTCCACATATATGTTTATGCTCATCCAGGGGTGTGGGGTGCTTGGTAATTAATTTGTGGAAGGGTCGGATGGCAGAAGATGCTGAACGACAAATTTTGAAATTTATAGTCTCCGTACCTCTTTTGTTAGGCCTATACTATTTATAAGTTCATTTTTACTGGTTTAAGTGCAGGGAATAATTGGGGGGGGGGGG